AAAAAAGACTTTTTTCTAGTAAAGTTTATTATACTGGTTGGTTTTAAAAAAAAATTTTAAAATTTTGGGAAAATGTATTTATATGTATCTTAATAGAAAATGAAGATTTATATGTAATTCGATAAGCAATATTTTACTATACAATTATTCAAGGTGCTTTATGTTAAAGATTGAGATATAATTCAATCTGTCTTTTATTACTCATTATAGAACTAAAATTTTGGTTTTGTCTATTCAAAAAATCGTTTTGTCTTAAATATTCAGCTTTTTGCAGACAAGAAATATGAATTGTGTTTATTTACTGTTATATATTACGTAATGTACCATAAATAGAAATTTATGTATAGTTTGATATGCAATTTTTTACTATACAATTTGTTTCATTATTTGCGAGAACGATTTACTTGATCAGGCTTTTGTCTGAAAAAATTATGAACAGATGATTACAATTTACAACGAAATGATAATTTCAAAACCCTGTCGATTATTTTACGACTAGTGTGACAGACAATTAGTAATAAAACGTTTGTTTGTAGCAATTTAATCAGTTAGCAAGATAAATTACTTTCAGATTTATAGATTAATTCCGTCAAATTGCATAGAAATATTTTCATTCTTTTACCTTTTCCATGAAGAACTTTTTAAAAATATTCTGTAAGTTGAACAACTGTTGTTGAAGAAATATCACAGTATTGTAATCTAAAAAATTGTCTGTCATAAATATCAATAATATCTGTAGAAATAAGTCACAATTTTATGCTTATTACTCTTTTCATAAAGTTTTTATTAATAATACTTTCGTAAAGTTAAAATATTAGAAAGCAATTCAGCTCATATTTGAACTGCAATATGTACTTAATACAAAGCGTATACACGTGCAGTAGTTGTATGAGTAAATATAATGATAACTTAACTGACATAACGCCCCAAAAATATTTTCTTTCTTATAAAGGACAAACTTGTGTGTTAAAATGTTGAATTATGTATTTTGTATTTTGGACACGATGCAAATCACTTGAAGAAAATATCACAGAATGTGAAATAATGTGTTACAAAGGTAACAAAAGATAAATGACTTCAACACAAATTATCAAAATAGTAAATCACCTAAGTTATACACTTACTATTTCCCAAACCCAAATTAAAAAAATGGCTCAGGTATATTGCCAATGAGTAATATTTTGACTTTGGTGGAAAGGTCACAAGATACCAGAAATTGAAAAGCTTTTGCAACAGAAAAATGATAATTATGATCTTTAAGCCAAAATGATCTTTATATGTCATTATTCTCCCCGGTTTTTATTTAAATACGTTGCTTTGTAAAGTCGGCAAAATCTTACAAAAAAAACAAAAAACCCAAAGCCTCCTCTCCATTTTTTAACTATAGTACCAATATTTTGTAAATTTTGTCGTGTCATGTTACAGCGTTATTTGAGAAAATACCAATATGGCGTCTAGGATTCATGCTCATTAGAGTCAATAATCCTCAAGAATAAAGTCTTGCCCGTTTCTCGTGCCGTTTTATCAGATAATGTCATAAACTGCACGGAACATTTTCATTTTCTTGCAGTCTTTACATTAGCTTGACAAACAGAAAAATCTGCGGAAGGAAAAGATCCATTAGCATTTGTTTGAGTCTATAAAAACAATTAAAAAAATCTTTTTAATCGTTAATGTCATCTCTTGTTTTTTTTTCCATTAAAGCAACTTAATCAAATTGTTTGACTTCGTTAATGCCATTTGTGCAAAACGGATGACACATTATCAAAAAACCGCTCCTCGTTTTCTTGAATCTGCGATAAATGGAAACAAACATGTATTTCTGAATTACAAGGATATAATCGCAAAAAAGTAACTTTGAAAGGAAATAGTCTTTTTAGGAATTTGCCGCTTGATCTATTGAATCATTGTCTTAATCCGGTCACAAAGTTGATATAAAAATTCTCTCTTTCATAATGAGTTATTTAAATGAAAAAAAATAAGCGACATGCAGAGAAAAAAAGTTCGTTAATTTATTTAATGTCAGTCGTATCAAATTATGGTCAATTATATTAATTATACAGATAGACCATATACTGATGTTCTATCTTAAGATTTATGACACCCAGAACTACTAAGTAATGGCTACTAAAAGTACAGACATGAAACCTGTAACAACCAACGGAAATGGTATCTGTACTGTAATGATATGAAATGCTATGTATGATATATAACCTGGAAATCTAACACTTTATAACGAGTTTTCAATGTACAGGATTATCATTTAAATTGCATATTACTAAACCGATAGAAATTCAAATGTACAATTTGCAAAATACATCACACAAACTAAAAATATACGATACTTTAAAGTACTAATGAAGTGTATAGATATATACTGATAATGGTATTTTTTTATTTAAACAATGCAATATTAATTTTGAAAGATAACATAGCACAAAAACTTTTCTTCAAAATTCGCACTTCTTAATCAATCAAAGGAAGGTTTTGATTGACATTATCAATTAAGTGTTAATTAAGCCTTACCGAATAAGGACTGAGTACTGATATTTTAAAACAATAACAAATGGTTTAAAAGGTAATTGTCATTATTAAGATAGATGACCATTGTTAGTTTAATACTTCACGACTGACGTAGATATAAGCTTACCTTTTGTGCTATTTCTATATTCTTCAAATTTCCACATTCTATATGGCAAACAGATTTCAATAATCAAAGTTTAAGTACTTGTATTTGGAGATAATGAAATATATAGATATTTACAGTAAATATAACGCTTTAAGCTACTTTATCATCACATTTCTGCCAGTGGCAATAAGGGTACGGACTATTTTGCAAACCTGAAGAGATTTTATGGAATTTATGAGGTTTGCCAATGCCGTATGTTTGCACAAATTACTAATATTTGCTAACCTGACAAAATTTTGATCGTTTTAATTTTCATGTACATACTATGGACCTTAATGCTGAATTAACGAGTCTACAAAAAAGTAAAATGATAATACTGTGAAATAAAAGTATTTTTAATGTATTCATTAATTTTGAGCATCGCGTTGGATGCAAGTTCCAAAGTATAACATTAAAATCATTATTTTAATTGATGATTAAATGCTACATAAGTCAGTGCTAGCGTACCTTTCAATGTCTATCATATACAGCCTCAATAAAAATGAGCCTCTAATTTTCAATAATTTGTTTTTCTTTTCGTTTATTGCTTTAATCTTTCAATATCAGATTATTTGTTACTCACGCACACACAGAGCAATTATTTGATTATTTTACATCACTTTGATTCAGTTTGACAACCGTGAAAACACCAAACAGCCGTGATTATGGATAATTTCATATAAATGTAGCCGATAAATTAAAACATCTTAAAGGACAAAAAAGACGACCACCGTCAATGCCAAATTTGACACTTAATAGTCACTTTAAATTTGAAAATACTTATTTTCACAGTGCGAAACTGTTTTGTGATAAATATGAAGGCTCATCCAATAAACAAATCATTCACCATTCCTTAAATATGAAATAAATTACTCTGTGTAATTAAATTGAGATTCAGTTGCTTTGCATTTCTGTTTATAACAGTTATAAATGAAAGAACTTGATAAAATTAATTTGTAAGAGGTGAAAAGAACAAGTGTGTGGAACTGTGGATCTTGATAAACAATTATTTTAAATACTAATTTGTTCTTCAGCATTATATATGCCAAAAAAGCACGCGAAATGGATATTCATAATATTTTTTTTTATATTTCGTTATTCGCATGGAGCAAACAATTACAACTATAAGGGTCTTTACAAGTATTACATTTCACTTCAATTTGCAACTGGGTAAAAAATTAATAATTAACATTAATTTTATAGAACAGTTTGGAACATTCAACAAAGGAAGCCATGCTTTATCAAATTAATCCTTAGCCAGCCGGTGGTAACAAATTTTACCTATGCGACTAGTGCAAAATTATTACAATTTTCTATGCTAATATATTTTGCAAATTAAATTATATCCAATTTAACTAGTGATTAGATTCATATATGCACATCAAATATTTAAAAAAATTTTTAAAGGAAAAACCTTTTTCCCTTAAGAACCCCATTACTAATTAATTTGTAAAACAATCTTTCTGGGTTTTTCAAATTTTAAACTTCTTTAAAAAGAATTTAAAAAGCTTAAAAAATTATTGCATTCCATAGTTCCATTACTATTATATTGGATGGCAAAACAGCAAGTACTTAAGTGGACAGGTCTACAATGGGCACATCTTCCACTAGTATTTCAAATATTAATGAAAACAATATAAATGTATCATTTGGATAAATGTTGATAAAGTTATAAGTTATTTAGAATGACATATCTATCTGATTGATTATAATATTTTCCAACAACTTACATATATACTTCTTAAGTAGTTTGCTTATATACCTTATACTAAATACTACCAACGTAATTATTCATTGTAATACAGACCTTCAATTATAAACCAATTTACTTTAAGAAAAGTCACTGCGTATACAATCTATACTAGAAAGGTTGATTCCATATATGGCGCAGTAATTAAAGGAAAGAGATTATTTCTACAGTAAATAATGAGTCGCGTAAGTTTATCGGCGCATTTATTGTCCTTAGCCAATATTTATCGATAAGTAACGTCAATAAATAAAAACAGACAAAATTGATTTAGATACGCACTTCTATCCATTGTTTATATATTCTATCACTCTATTGAGACTGAAATGTTCTTGAAAATCTTTTTTCATCTTTAACTTAAGCTGCTGCTGTTCATAGATACAAAGATAATGAAAGGTGCAAATAATAAGAGATCAAAATAGGAAAGGTTATTTTGTGATATTTCTCCCTCCTTATCAAACTTGCATCGTGCAAGAAAAGTGCACTTTCCCGTAGCACATATGAACAACACACAAACCATATCTTTCTTTGACAAAAAAGAATTACAAAAGTTCTAATTACTCCTGCCTAGAAACAATTGCTTACCTGTCATATTCTAGAGCAAATTCTAGTTGACCTATTTTGGGCATATCAGGTAACATCTCTAACACGGAGGAATCCGAGGCTACACTATCACATGACTCAGCTCGGCGAATTCCGTGACTAAACTCCGCGTCTGATGCTGTAAAACATGAAATTTTCATTTTGCAATATTTTTCTTCTGAATCATCCACATTATTTGCAATATTTGAAGGATAAGACGATAAAAAACTTCCTGATGTTTTGTACAATTATGAATCATTCAAAGGTTTTACAACGTTTCATAGCAATGTCCTTATACGGGGTATATGATTTTTATACAGCTAATATGAAATCCATTATTGAAGAAGAAGTGTTACGCCATATCAAACAAAGTGTTATGCAATATCAAACAATTATTTAAAACATTCAAAATTTACCTAGAGAACCAGATACTGGACTACTTCTAGCACTTTCCTCTCTAGGAGGGGAATGACTTTCAACATCAACATATCTAGGTTCTGTCTGCATTGTGTCATATTCCACATACTTCCCTCCCCTGTCACCTGTTATCTCGGAAGACTCTGAACCAACCTGTAAAATACGTAAAAGCTTAAAAGTTTAAAATTTTATCAAAATTCCGCTTAATTGAAGATTTCTAAAATCCAGTGATTTCCTCTTATATATGTATGTTAACAACGTTAGGTTTTTAAATTTTAACCAAAAAATGGGGTAATCCTTTTAGTCGAAAAAAATTTGGTCCCGTTTTTTAAAATTAAAGGGGCCCAAAAATATTTATCCAATTAAGTTGAATGTGAAAAAGGGACTAAATAAAGTGGCGAGTATTAGTTTTGATGTTTTACGGAAATTTTACACTTTCATAGTAAATTTTAATTCATCAACAATATTAACAAAGTGTATTAAAGGTTGGTTTAATCCGTTTAAACTTAATTGGTTTTAACGGTTTAAAATAAAAATTTAAAATTTAATAACAATTTTAAAGAAAACTTGATTGAGTTTACTTCTGAAAAAAATATATTATAAAAAATGATGCGAGTAATGATTTTATTATACATACCATGTAACCATTGTATTGTTCATTCTTTGTTAACACCGCTTTTTCTTCACTGGAAGCAAAACACGATGCTAATCGATATATTCCGAATATGCGGATAAGTACAGCTAGAACAACAATGGCCACCACAATAAGGGCGATAACTAGCAGGGCAATACCGACATCACTCATCCTCCAACCTGCAATTATACATAATGACAAACATTTAATTATTTCCTACTTTGAATTAGTATTATCAGAATTGTATAAATGTATGATGTACGAGGATGATTAAAAACAAACCGGACTGGGGCTGTCAATTGAAACTTTTCATCCTACCACTTATTGTTGTATACTCAAAAATGCCTTGACATAACGTTTTCATAATACAATTAGAGTGCTTTTTTTCTGATCTATCTTTATTTTTAAATCTCAATGATATTATATTATCTAAATATAATTTTAAAGCTGAGGATTTAATATCGCTTACGACGGTGCTAGGGTGTATGAGAGATGTTTTTTTTTGTATGAGAGATGTTGCACTTTCCAATATGAGTCATGTAAGCAAAGTCTATGATTTGCAACTTTTGTTTTATTTGTTAACATTGCTCCCAATCCCCCATTCCATTTTTATAACCAAAGTATTTGGTAATTTTATATAGTGAAAATGAAATATGGTTAAAACACAAATATTTTTGAGTGTATGTATATTTGGATGTTTGTTTAAACTGGTTTAAGAAACTGTAAAAACAAATGTACATCATAAACAGCGTACATAATGTCCATAAAAAAGAAAAATGACCATTTGTTGAGCTGTACAAAATTGTACTTAATTTCTTAACGTTTGTCTCAAGATTTTTCTTTTTTTTTTTGACTTTCATTTTCATTCTACATTACATTAATCTCGCGATTATTATTATGACACCATATATGTATCATTTAGAAAATTAAATTACATATTCAGATATCCAGGGATGATTAATATGACCCCTTGTGTGAACTGTTTAGAAAATTTAATTACATCTTCAGATATCTAGAGATAATAAATATGAACCCCTTGTGTGAATAATTTAGAAAATGTAATTACATCGTCTGATAAAACATCTTTTCAAAAGTCTACACCAGATGTTGTTAGGTAAAGTATTGTAATTGAACACCTTAGAGAATACTTTGTTTTGTACTTTGTCACAACGTAACACCTATTTAGTCTATTCTTAACACTTTTTTTTACTTTTTTACAACAAACTGAATTATCTTGGTATCTTTATTGCCATCATATTACCAATATAATCTTTGCATATAAGCATTGCAAAATAGCAAACTTAACATTTTTTTATTATTAAGGTTGTTTGCAAGGTAATCATTGGGACAATTCGATTTAACTGTAAGTTAGTTAAGAAATAACGTATATAATAGCAAATTTAACAACTTTTATATATTAAGAATTGTTTGCAAGGTTTTAATTTTGGAACAGTTTGATAAAATTGTACATAAGTTCAGAAATTACCTAAACAAACATTGTAAAATAGCAAATTTAACAGCTTTTCTGTATAATTCAGGATCGTTTTCAAGATATTTATTTATCTATTGAAACAGTTTGATTTTGAACTGTAAATTAGTTTTTGCAACACAGAAGATATTATTAGCAAGTCGTTATAACTTATACTAATACGTTTCAAATATATCCTGTTGATTTATTACATTACTCTGAATCACCCACGACGGTAGTTTCATTCTATATCATTTGATGAACAACTTTGTGATAAAAAAAACAACAAAAATCCTTAATTATTAATCATGGAATTCTTGTGTGCAAATTTTCTGCTGTTAGCACCATATAAGTTTAAAAACATATTGCTTTATTTTCTATATTTGGATAACATATCTGTTAATACATATTTTCTTGTTTTAGACTTAGATTTTCATTTGTCTTGATGATGAATATTAATTACGGAATTAACAGGAACCATCCAGGAAGATTGCAATGCTATTTCATGAGCAGCCATCCTATTTTTAAAATTAATATTGTTCGATGATTAATGAGCTGCTAAAACTAGACAAAAAGACATGAAAGAAAAGCAATATAAATAAGATGAAGTTTTTGAATTCGATGAAAATTAATTTGGTTGAAAATTAGTATTATTGATATTTAACATATATGATATAACAGTATTACTTATGCAATTCATTATTTCTACAATCTCTCACATACATTCGAAAACCAAGTACCTAGACTATCATACATGTCTATATACATGTACATTTAACTTCGAAAAGCCGGTTCCAAAGTGCAAGAAGAAAAATAAATGAATAACTCAAACATTGTGATAATGTTAAATTGAATATATTGTACGGCACAACCAACTGCATTCAGCATTTAATCATTTAAATATTTCTTTTGAATCAATTGATACTATTATTATAGGAATTAATACTGATAGTAGTGATAATTCATTCTGAATTTTTAGTTTCTACAAAACCTAATTTAAAACAACGATGTCCATATATAAATGTACCATTGAACTCAAATACTTAAAGGTAAATTATTTGAAAAAGGATAAAGACCGAAAGCTATAGAGTTTATAGATATAATCATATATTCTTCTATATTAAGCTGGAAGATTATGTGTCCATTTATCATCCATTTGCACATTATAAGTAACCATTCTAAGTATTAAACGCCTCCGCATCGGCGCCAAAATATTCATCATAATTGATGAAATAGTACACGAACTTTCTAAAATAGAGCATATCTTTGGTCGTTGCTCAGGTGGTTATGTTGTTATATGAGATACAATTGTATCACGGCTACAAAGAAAGACAATAAAGATAACTATAAAGTTAGCTTACTTAACCTTTATCGTTGTGATATACGCATGATTATTCAAGAAAACGTGTTTCACTCATTTCCCTTGTGAATAAGTATGGCTGTTTTACGTCCATGTAGGCATTAAGCACAGCTGTGTCCTTTTGGTTTCATATCATAATTGAATAGGCTGTTTACATAATATCTAACGAAACGTGAGTCCAAGTAGTTGTTATCAAAGAATTTTTCAAATATGAGATCTAGACGTTCTATGTGACAATAATTTTATTATTTATGTTTGATTCTTTGTCAAAGTTTTACACTATGGTTTTAGATATTGGTTAAAAGCGATTAGTAAAAATGTTCCTAAAATGTCTTTTGTATTTCGTTTAAACAAACGAAGCAGTCAACCTGTCTGTTTTCAAGATTATGTGGAATGGTTTGGTTATATATGTATATTTTGATCAAAATTTTGGAAATGTGTAGCAAGTGTACTTTTCAGTAAGCCAATAAAAACCGTTCTGCTAACTCTCAGATCTGATCAAACAGAATATTTGGTGCCATCCTTAAGGATCTATGTATATCTAGTTCACCCTTGAGATAGGGGACTAGAAAATTCCGTTCTTAAGATGTGGTGATCTCTTTTTTAATATGAGATGATAACTGTAAACTTCAATAGACTATTGCAATGAACATGTTTGCGATATCTGACTAATACATGTTTTTTCTCTCCAAATGTCTGAATCTAGGTATCGTCATGTACCGTATGTAACAATGAAAATAGAGTTGAAGGCATGAAGATGATTATGTTATTTCTTGACTATCAAAGAGTTTAGTTTATGAAGTTAGTATACCGATTATCATTAATATCAAAAGCGCCTTTCGTCTTTTTAATATTTTGTAACTGAAATGCATTTAAATATTAATTAATTTAATTAATAGTCTTCTTATTCTGTAATGGAAAGTAAATGAAAAGAGCAGCAGTTTGCAAGTGTATTTTTGCACATTTATATAATATGGGGCAACGTCATTCGTTTCTCCCGCAATAAGATTGTCAATGTTTTAAATAACTTTTGTTTTAAATAACAAGTTTGACAATGCTGTACCATAAATGTGATAGAGACGGTTCAAATATTGGTAAAATGTCGCTGATGATGCATATAACGCGAAACCCTAAAAAGCTAATCTAAATGTCATCATTACTGAATTAAACATACAACCCCCTCTGGTGACAAACTCTATAACGTAAGGTTTCTATGGAAACCATTTCTAAGCCATTACATATTTTGTGCGTGTGGGAGAAAAAAGTCTGATTGAGATTAACGGTTATACTGCCGGCAGGATTTTGGAGAACGATCGTAAAATACTTTTGGTAGTTTTTCTTTGTTTTGCATAAGAAAGATAGGAATTTTTATCAAAACCAGTCAATAAAAAATGCCGTTGCACGTGAAGATTGAATTATTATACCAAATTTAACTTTGGGTTCTGCTTGAGTCGGTGATAGAGGGAGTTAAATATCTGAAAAACTGCTTTAAAAACAAAAAGCGTATTTACAAGCGTAAACCATAGAACATACAAAAGCCATATTTCTTCGTCTAGCCGTATAATTAAGCCAAGAAAACTTGGATTAGGTCAAAGAAGCAGTGCGAAGAGAAATTTGTTGGTTGTCAAATGATGAACAGCGGGAATATTTTGTATATTGTGGTATATTATTGGTATTGACACTCCTATATTGTTCATAAAATATATCACTATAACGAGTATAGTGTGAAATATTTTTAATATAATGGAACTCCTATATTGTCCATAATGTATATCTGACATATGCTTAGAATGGTGTTAAGTAAAAGCATTATCATTTAAGCAGTATTATTTGTTTTACCAACATATTAGAGAAGCATATGAGCGTCATATTTTGTCATATCTAAATTAATTTGCATAGTTACTTTATGTATGAATAATTAACAAATGTTCAAAAAAGTGTACATTGGTTTTTTCTTTGCAAGCTGTTTCCGTACAGAATTTTGATCGATGAAAGTTTGTTACAGAGAACATAGGGAAAACTCATTAGCTCTAAAGTACAGACTCAATCAAACATGTAATTTTGTCCCGAGGGATCATCCTTGTATCGTGTGACTGTACCTCAGTGTTGTTATATTATTCTGGTCATTAGGGATAATTGATTCCATCACTTTAAAGTGTTGAAAATTTAGTACCGTTTAAGCCGATGGTAGTGGGCATGAGAGATGTGGCTCTTTTCATTATCCTTTATGTACAGACTAAAGCAAACCGAGTCTGCAATGTTCAAGCTATTTTGTTGTAAAATATATTCAGTTTAAAGCCTCTTTTTGGGATTTTATATTCACAAATCTATGGATGACATACAAGAT